CAAAATGTTTTGGTCAAATTAAACTCTAAAAAGAAAAACTCCAACACCCCCCCACACCTTCCCCTCTCCCCCCCCCACAAAAAACCCTTTTCTTTAAACAGTTTCTGAGCAAAACATTTCTATTTTTTCTGTCTGAAATGACTTTTCTTTCCAGAATTTCCTTCAATTTTATTTTAAACAACTGAAGTGTTTAAAATGATCAAGATCAAAATGAAACGTTTTACCCAACCTGAGTTGAGGGTTTTTGGTGTTTATTTTTTTTAAACTTTTTGATTAATCAAAAACGTGGAAAATTCCATTTTCAATTTGACCCCCAAGTTTTTTCCCCCCCAAGAATTGCCCACAAACTTATTTGCCCAGCTCTACACCCAAGATAAATTTCTAATCTCTTTGAAAGCAGTATTGGTGAAAATATAGATCTTAATAGTTTGAGGGCTAAGCTAATCACATGCCCAAGCTCCACCCATGTTATTTGTATTATTGAAGTGCCTAAAAGCAGGGGGCCATCGGCACTCAAACCATGGCCCCGCCCCTTCTCCCTGAGGCCTTACCCGCCTGCCACCTCTCTCCCCTCCCCCCCCCAGGCCCCGCCCCCAGCTTGCTTCTCTCTGTCTCCTCCACCCTGTCGCTCGCCCTTATGACCAGTAAAAAGTGATGGGGCCTTGGCCCCCTGGCCCCTCCTGATCCAGGATCCCTGCCTAAAAGCCTAGCCATGGACAAAGACCTCCACTATGCTTGCAAGACTTCTCAGTGTGATGCCATTAGCATTTTATAAGCATACTCCTCTCTCTTATCTAAGTCAGAGGTTCTCAAACTGTGGTTCAGGGACCACCAGTGGTCCGCGAGCTCCATTCAGGGGGTCCATGGATAGTTCCCTCTAAGGTGCGCGCCTGGGCAGCTGCACACAAGAAAATGAAGGACCACCCATCTAATTAGTGGAGCCGCACAGGCGTGGACCCTGGAGAAGATGCACATGTAAGGTGAGGTGGTGGCCTTGGGGGGGGAAATAGGGGGTAGGTGGGAGGGGGCAGTGGGGTGAGAAGAGGAGATGGGGGGAATTTGGGTTGTGCAGGGTTACGGCAGCAGCGACTTTCCCCAGCTACAGGACTGTGGCTGCCAGGAAGAGACGGCCCTCCTTCCCAGCTCCAGCTCAGGGGCTGCTGCGCTGGGGGAAAGGGGGAGAGACACCCCCGTCCTTGCCAGGCCCAGCTAGGGGGTTGCTGCAGCGGGGGAGAGAGAGCACATCCATCGCATTAGAAAGGTAAGACTACTGATATTAAAATACGAGTTGTGTGCTTTTATTTGTAGAACCAAAAAAATGTTGTTACGTTTTTGTTTTATATAGCGCTTTTATCCAAAGCGCATTACAATAGTTAGCTAACGGTACAAACAACATTTGGAAAGATTATTAAGTGGTCCACCAAGACCCTCAGCAACTTTCAAATGGTCCACGGAAAAAAAGTTTGAGAACCACTGATCTAAGTAATTAATGAACCTATTGACTAGTACCAGACCCAGGATTGACCCATGTGGACCCCCTAGATACACCCCTCCCAGTCTGTCAGAAAGCCACTGATAACTACTCTGAGTATGATCTTTCAACCAGTTGTGCATCCACTTTATAGTAATTTAATCTAGAGAATGTCATGGGGGGCTGTGAAAAGCCTTACCGAAACCAAGTTATATCATGTTGACTGCTTCCCCACAATGCACTAGACCAGTAACCATTTCAAAAGGAGGAAATTAGGTTGGTTTGGCAGCCTAATTACATCTAGCCCTATTATCCTCTAGGTGCTTACAATCTGATTGGTTAATAATTTGTTCCAGTATCTTTCCAGGTATCAAAATTAGGCTGACTGGTCTAGAATTCCTCTGGCCCTCTGTGTTCTCCTTTTTAAGGATAGGTGCTATGTTTGCCCTTCTCCTGTCCTCAGGGACCTCCCCCATCCTCTGGGAGTTCTCAAAAATAATTGCTAATGATTCCGAACGTGCTTCAGCATGTTCCTCACATACCCTAAGGTGAATTCCGCCAGGCCCTGCCGACTTGAATACATCAACTTATCTAAATATTCTCTAACCTGTTCTTCCTTACTTTGGCTTGCGTTCCTTCCCCCTTGTTGCTGACATTAATTGAGTATCTGGTCACCATTAGCCTTTTTAGCGACGACTGAAGCAAAATAGGCACTAAATACCTCAGTTTGGTTGAGGTCATCAGCTCTCCTTCCTCCTTAAGTAGAGGTTCTACAATTTATCTTGCCTTTCTCTTGCTCCTATTGTATTTGAAGAACCTCGTCTTATAGTTTTTTCTGACCTTTGCTGGGTGTCTCTCATTTTGTCCCTATAGGCATGTGCAATACATCTCTACTCCTCCTCAGCAATTCATCCATGTTTCCACTTTTTGTAGGACTCCTTTTTTAATCTTCCTGTCATGAAAGACATCCT